ATGTAGCTCAATGGTAGAGCACCCCTGGGTTTTATCCCCCGCTCCCCAAAATAAGTCATCACAGCCAAGAAATTTCTGATAGGTGTCCTCAAATACTTGCAAAACGGTGTTATCGGTACAAGAAAATTAAATGTTATATGATCATTCCTCTCCTTACTTAGTTCTATGTTGTAATATGCTAAACTTTCTTTCCAATGTTAGATAAATCAAACTGCTTTATGATTATATAATCATAACATCGTAGATAATTGAAATGCAAAGGTATTTGTGCCCATTCATATGTAACTGCTAAGTTCAAAGATACTAAGTCATGAGAATGTCTTGCTAGATGGCTTTTTTCCAGAGCCTGGAAGCCAGGTCTCCCTGTTTGCCGTTTGGTATACACAGAAGTACATTGCCACCATCAAGTCTCCAAGTATTTAGCTGATATAAATTAAGCATTCCAGAAATGACAATGCTTGACAACCCAATGCACAAAATAGTAAACAATTAACAATCAAAATAAAGAAACAGCTGTTATTTTTTATATAAAATTATGTCTAATTTACAATAAATGCTAATTAAAATTATTAACCAATATACATAAATCTCCTTTGCCTCATTGTCAAACAGCTATGTAGAGCCTGGCGTGGTGGCACATGCCTGTCTTTCCAGCTGACTCAGGAGGCTGAGGCAGGAGGATTGCAAGTTCTAGGCCAGCCTCAGCAATAATTAGCATAACCCTGTCTCAAAATAAAAAAATTAAAAAAAATGAAAAGGACTGGGGATATAGTTTGAAGGGTAAAGTGCCACTGGGTTCAATCTCACCCCCGCCCGCCCCCATACAAATAGCTAGGTAGATTGTAAAATTCTGTAAAAATTTCAAAGGAATCACTAAAGGCTTTTCTTCTTCCTCTGTCTTCTTCCTTTGTAAAATATCAACCATAAATCAGTAGATATTGTACACACTGGTACTTTCTACTTAACACAAGGCAACCATATTATCAAGGTGAAAACAGAGGGCACTAATAGGGTAGTGCATAACCCAACAAGGCACTGCTGTGCTAATGGTTATTTCCATCAAATCTAATGATTACAACAGCTCAACAGAACTTGATCTTACAATCATCAATAACCACTCAGATTAGCATGTTAAAAGCTTTAATGTACAGAGATATGACAAAATGTAACTTTAAAAGCACTGACTCCTCACTTTGCTTGTTGGGAGGAAAGGATTAAGTAGTAGAGGAATAACTGTCAATTGAATCCTAGAAATGTCACTGCTACTAATGCATTATAATGACTTGCTGTATATATCCTATACCAAGAGCACAAGCCCATCTTGGTACTTCTTCATTACTACTTGCTTTCATTTTTGAAATTACTTCAACTTAAGCGATAAGAACTTCATTGCTTTAAGAGTTGATGAGTGATAATCTGAGATACCAACCTGCATTTAATTTACTGCTATGTATCAGCTTTTCAGGTTTTCTGTTATATTAGAGGAGAGTAAAACCTCGCCTTACTGACCCATTTGCTCTCCATTTCATCAAACAGATATTCACTATATAGAATATTAAATACATTATTTTTATAAATTACAGATCAAGGGTATATCATTTTGTTTTTAAAATTACATCATTTATTTAAAATGTTCTTCCTGCTTTACATCAACACTCTTTAAAACTTCTATGTCTAGAAGATAGATGTTTTATTTAGCTAACATTTACTGAGTATCAACTATATGTTAACCCTATACATTGAGCTAAGAATACAAACTAAGACACAGTTGCTCCCAGAGATCTGTGTCCAGGAGAGACATGCCCAGACATTGTAATTATGATGCATGGTGATATGCACTGTTAGTACAGACTGCCACTATTAGTACAGAGAAGAAGTGCATAACTCCTCTGGAAGATCCAGGAAAGGATTTCCTGAACAGCTGAAATAAAATCTGAGCAATGGCAAACAGTACTCAGTAGCCCAGAGCAGGGAGGAGAAGGCATAGGTAAGTGTGAGCAGCTTTGACACCATTTGTGAAGTGGACCACAGTAGAAAATTAAGAGCTTGGACTCCAGCCAGGGTGATGCCTGAGTTCTATTGGGCAATTGTTTAATCTCCCCTTGCCTCACTGGACCCATCTATATAAAGGGTATAACAAGAGTTTCTACTTAAAAGAATATCTATGAAGATGAATGAGTAACTTCTTTTGGCAAAACAGATAATAAAAGCAATTTAAATGTTTATTATTAGTAGAGCTGAAGTGCAAGGTTCTTGATGGCAGTGGCAGAAGAGAAGTTAAGATTGAAGAATAGGAATGGGTCACAGATAAGAGGCTTTTGGTGAATTGCAAAAGACCTGGGAAGCCACATGCTGAATTTTCAGGATGTCAAGGCTTTGAGAAAGATCAATGAGTCACAGGGAGACTGAAGAAGAATGTAATGTGAAGCAGAGCACTAAAATAGCAGGCTCTGGATACATCCCTGTGGCACTGGTAGGAGCCTGAACCAGGGCAATGGGATGGGAAAGAAGAAGGGTAGATTTAGAAAACACCTGGGAGAGAGTGGGTAAGGCGTGGCTCACCGCATGACAGGATAACAGAGAAGAATGGCTTAGTCAACTGGCTGGGGAAAGAGGCTAAGCTTTATGACTGAACTGAACTGAAATAGAGAATGCTTACCTTTTTGGTCTTTTGATTCTAGGCACATAATAAATGTTGAACTCCCTTCCTTCCTTCATGAAACTATTCCCTTTTTACAATCTGATATGACTTGATTTAAAAAAAAAACTTCAAAGGCTAAAAAGCATTTAGTTTGATTGCAGAATTGCCACTTGGCCTTAGAGTTTCTAACTCTGAGACCTTGAATTTAAATGAGAATATTAAAAAATTGGGAGTTATTTTGCCTTAATTTTCTTTTTTGAAAATGCAGACACACTCTGGCTGATCTTGTTTCCCTCTGGTGTTGTGAGATTCTTTGACATCAGCACAGATATATTCTGCTTCAACATATGATACTGGTTGGCATGTGAAAGAAGAGGAAGAGAGCTGAGTTTATGGGCAAGATGTGACAGCTAAGCTCCAGACCAAATGACATCTGTAACAGGTGTGCCTTGGCACCCATGTTAGAAAGAGCTTCTTCCTCTCCTTTTAAAAAGTGGGTAAGTAACTATATACCACTGTGGAAACTATATTCTCACAGCTATAAGATACAATCAAGACAGAATAATTATTGTCATTAGGGTGGAACAATTGTCTTTTTCTTTTCTTCTATTTTTGAATTAAAAGAGTCTCATGCCTACAGCAGAGGTCTGAGGTAGAAAGATGCATTTGTTAAACTCCTGAGACTTTGCTAGTGGAATAATGCTATAGCCTGTTATGTGGCAAACTTTTATGCTTACAAGATGGAGGGTCTTCTCTCTCCCTGGAGGGCCAATCAATTTAGCTGACTGTCAGGGAACTGACAATGACAGCAGCATTGAGCAATCAAACACTTTAAATTTTCAACATAGGATTCTAAAGCATTCTAGCCACTATTCTAGCAGTAATAAGAGACCACTTCCATCAAAGCTGTTCTCCTCTACATATTTTTTTGTTATAAGTTTTAATAACTTTCATCTCTGCTACTGACTGTTCCTATATTCCCAAGCAAATTGGTGCATTGAGATATTAGATAAATCATCATAACATCTAAGGAATTTTTCTTACATTATGTCTTGGTCTTTGTGACCACCCAATTCTTGGTCTCCACCCTTCTCTTTAAACATAGTGTTTGGCAGAGACTTGAATCCAGGAAATACAGAGGTCTGGATTTAATATGGTTCTCTAATTTTGAGACAATAAACTACAAAGTCTTTTTTAAGGTGAAAAAAAAAACCCATATCCTTTCTAGAGTCCAGCAAAATAACTACCATTAAGTTTACTCACTAATTTGCCTCTAATTTTTAATTTTATATGTAAAATTTTATATGTAAAATAGGAATTTAGAGCTATTCATCCTGTTAATTCATTATGTAGTTCAAATTCTTTTTCTTCATCACTCATCAAATTAATAAAGAACCAATACCAAAGAGTGAGAAACACTACCCCCAAATGGACATATTTATCCATTTGTATGTTTTTATATGCCCATTTTCTTTATCTTTTTTCTTATAATTAGTAGGCTATTATACTTGACCCTGGTAAAATATTTTAATTAGGTTGTCCATGGATATTTCAATAAACTTGAATTTTTTTTTTACATTTCAAACATAACCTTGTGCCATTCATGCATGCCCCCACTATTTAAAATGTATAGCATGTTCCAGCTGCAGAAATTACCATGGTTACTTGTTATGCCAATAGCAAACTACAGATGGCATTTAAAAGTATTGTGTTATCTTGCCTCTGCATTGAAAATAGCATTTATATCTCAATAATCACAATATCATGAATTATACAGAAAACTGTGGCTATAAGACAACTGGCCATGGTTTAAGAAGTTCTTAAGAGCTAACATATATTTAAGAGTTTTTTTTTGGGGGGGTAGATTACGTTGATGTACTCTGAAAACTCATTTTAATGTTAAATTTGGTTTTATTACCAGATTGCTGAATCGTTAAAATCTTATTCCCTTCTTTTCTTTATTCACTGTTCTTTAGAAATGAATAGGATTTCAGTATTTCTTTTGGGTGGAAAATGATTCACTTTTACTGTGAAATGATTAACAGAGAACACACAAAGTGTGACTTGCTAAAGGGACTCTTATGTGTAGGAATAGTATCTAGGATTAAGTTGATTTGTTTGGAGCCTTCAATTCTCTCACTGACCAGATGAACCCTTTATTAAGGACGGTTCTAGTTAATAAATAGTTTTCTTCTAAGTTATTATTTAACCACTCCTGCTTCAAAAAGTGCTTTAGAAATTCTTGGGGCCATTTTCCCATGCCTCTCACAGACCTCTCAACTTTACTTTGTACAAAAAAGACTGACTTCCTGGCAATCTAGACAGTGACACACAGTGCAGTAGGGAAGTCCCTGCTTACCTGCGCTGGTGCCTGCACCGGACGTGAGGTCTCCACCCATCAGACCACCTAGGGATTAAGGAGGGAGATCAAAAGGAGAAAGGCTAAAGGCCCACAGAACAAAACACTTTACCTTTAGAAACCTCAGTATTTTGTCCAATCCTGACAGTCATAAATTTGTAAAGTGCTACCTAAGTCAGATGGCTGACATTTGTTTTATTGTGACATGCTGTGCTCAAATGTTAAAAATACATTCAATCACTGACATTTTGCAGGATCTTTTTTTTTTCTAGGAAAGATTACATTAAAAAAATATGCAGTCTTTGAATAGTAGCTTCATTTTTATTATTTCCAAATCTAGGTCTTTCCTAAGTAGATTCTTCATAGGCAATAAAAAAAAAATAGGTCCACTCTATGCTCAGAGAACCATGTAAATATATCCTACACCATATATGTAAATATATCTTACATCATTAATTTTATGCAATGCTAATTATCCAGAATTTTGACCATTTAGTAAGTCTACCCACATAAATTATACTGACATAATAAACATGTTTTCACAAAGTTAGGAACATATGCTTATTCACTGCTAATTTAAGCAAGTAGATTAACATTTGACAATGTTTACATATGAGAGTTGGGTGGTTTCAATAAAATGCTGAATATAATAATTACTTTTAGTTTTTAAGGAATAAGCTTTAACCAAAAAATAATAGCAAAAATGTCATCTAGTTTTTCTAATTGCTTCTAAGTGATACTTTTCCATTATTAGTTGGTTCAGGGTTTAGAATTAGATGAAAATGTTCATTACTTTTTTTTTTTTTTTTGGTACAGGGGATTGAACGCAGGGGCACTCAACCAATGAATCACATCCCCAGCCCTATTATGTATTTTATTTAGCATCTCACTGAGTTGCTTAGTGCCTTATCATTGCTGAGGCTGGCTTTGAACTCGCCATCCTCAAGCCTCAGCTTCCAGAGCTGCTGGGATTATAGGCATGCATCACTGCACCTGGCGTGTTCATTACATTTTAAGAAAATATTTCCCATCAAATATTGTTTTGGAAATAAAATATAAAATTAAAAAAAATAGCATGAATTTATCAAATAGGAAATTCAACTTCATCTGAATATCTGTGAAAGGAATATATGTGGTTATTAAAATTCATATGAAAAATTTCAAACATATTGAAATATAGACAGAATAGCACAATAAAGTCCTTTGTACACATTTCCCAGACTCAGGATTTATAAAGTCTTCTAGAGGAAAAATTCTTCAGTGAATAAACTGCTTTAAATACAGTTATATGTGCCTAAGATATTCTAAAATTTTCTTTATAAAGTGCTTTCTTAAAAATATAACATAAATATATAATGGTTTGCTTATGTGATTTATAAATACAATTATTTTTGATGCTGCTTTTGGAAGTACGAAGAAATAATTAAGCTTTTTTCAATACACACTGAATTAGTTCCCACTGGGAGTTTGGCAAATCAAAATGGTATTCTTCTGTCTAACTAAAAAGAACAAATTAAAAAAAAAAAAAGAGTATTCTTGCCTTCAAGTTCTTTCAATCCAGTGGGAAAAACCGACACATATTTGATACTGTGAATTGTAATGTATTTAGCTTGAGCTGAGTCCTAATAATGGTCGGACTTTCCCTGAGCAAAAATTTCACTTCTTTATGACATTCAGAGTTGAACAACATTAAGGAGACATGCAGAGACAAATCTATGTCCAGTACACATGAGATGACATGCTCCTGACTTCATTTCTTTGTTTTTAGTTCACATTTCCTATAAAACATGCAATCCTATTATCTATATTTTCAACATTTAATTCTTTCTGGAATAAGGTATTGTATAAGTAAATAAAATTGGCCAAAATAATAAATCATTAAATGGGACAGATGCTATCAGAGAGTGCAGGGGGGGGGGTTTCACAGTAGAAGTGGCACCTTGGTAGAAAGAAGCAGGAAAAGGGCATTTTAGACAGGGGGACAACAGAATGAGAAGTGTGTTGACAGGATTTTTGACATCCTGTCTGAGAAGTACACAGTTAAAATATGATCATGTGCACTGAGCATGAAAGTGCATGCCTCTACTGCCAGAGCCTGAGGCAGGAGGATGGTGAGTTCAAAGCCAGCCTCAGCAACTTAGTGAGGCCCTAAGTAACTCAGAAAGACCCTGAGTCTAAATAAAATTTAAAAGAAAGACCCTGTCTCTAAATAAAATTTAAAAAAAGGGCTGGGGATGTGGCTCACTAGTTAAGCACCACTGGGTTCAATCCCTGGTATCAAAAAAAAAAAAAAAAAAACCAAAAAACCAACCCCCCCCCCAAAAAAACCCCCAAAACCAACCAACCAACCAACCAAACAAACAAAAAGCCATGTGAGGAGATAAGTGACACCCTAAAAGATAAAATGTAGACTATGAAAGATTTCAAAAGATATGCTAAATATTTAGGCTTATCAGATAGAAGACCTAGTAGGGTTGGATGCTAAGCAATGAAAGGATGAAGGCACATAACTAGGAAACCAAAGAATATCTCATAGAAAAAATAGCCTGGGCTTTGCCAAAAGGGGTTCCCTCCAATGGCTTGTTAAAATTAAGTCCTTTTGAGGGCATACCTGTGTTACCTGCACTGGGAGGTCGATGTGTTACACCAGGAGACATACTATTCCTTTGCAGAGAAGGGTGAGCCAGTGGCAAAAGGTTTGGGTTTCCCAGTGAGCTGACGGGGTTGCTGTACACCAAACTGTTGTGGCTGGACACTGGGATGGAAACTGGCATCTCAAAGTTGGGAGGTGGAACAGCCTGTAGGAACAGAGACAAATAAACCCAAAAAATATAGGTAAAAGAAAAGAACAGCAACAGAAGCTCTCAAGCACAGGCAGTGCTTACTTTTCCAAGAAACATTCCAATTCCAAACCCCATGGTGTGCAGAAGACCATGAAGAAGTTGAGATCATAAATTGATTTCTTTAATATGCTCAGAGCTCTTTCTTTGCAACTATTAGAAAAGGTTTCGCTTTTGTTTAAAACAAAGCCCCATTTCATTAGACTCCATTGTCTTTGAATTCCATTCTATTAAGTAATAATTGTTCATTTGTGATGTCTGAATCTGGTGCCAGAAATGACTGCAAGATCAAAGGTACATGACTGTGATGACTTCACAGATAAAAAGGAGGATTAAAATGCAAACCAGAGCCTTTGGTTTAATTGCTTACTGAAGCATATTTATGCAGAAGTTTAATGATATAAAATCATCCCCAGGCATGTGAATAGCACATATAGTTTAATTATTATTTTAAAAAATCTGTCTTTTAAAACTAACTCTAAAAATAATAGGCATTTTAAGATACAGGTTTCAACAGAACAAGTACCATTCAATAACTTGCATTTTAAAATGATAGCTCAGTAAATATGTTTCACATTTGGGTATATACATACTACTACCGACAAATGGCAAGATCTGTCTCCAACAAGACAGTTGGCAAATTTAGTGAACTGAAGCTGTATGGATGCCCAATTATAGTGATTCAGGTCTCAATTATTGATATTTGGTATTATTTCTGCAAATGAAGAAAAAATATGGTTTATTTTTTTGCCTGCACTAATAGTTGTAAATATCCTTCCCTTTCTTTCTCTGTTTTTAGCATTACAAATGAAAATACTGTGTGAATATATTGCCAGAGGACTCATGGTGTCAGATCATATAGGATTCTCAATATAAAATTATATATATGTATATATATATTATGTATACATGAGTATAAATCCTTTATACATGCATGTATATGTGTACATATATACATTTACACATACATACATATATGTGTATGCATGAATACAGGATTTATACAAGTCTTGCCCTCAGAGATTCTTAGTATACCACTGTACAAGTTCAAATGTGTGTGTATGTGTGGCTGTTTGTTTTGAGTTGTTGTTTGTTTTTACTGGTTGACTGGCTGGTCTGGATCACACATTGTGCTCTGTGGCACTTCTGTGTTTATGTTGCTGATTACAGTACTGTTTTCTATTTATGTTTATGCTCCCATGTTCTTCATTCCCCATGTTTCTTTTCTTTCATGTTTTAGAAATGTTGATATTGACAAAGTAAACACTTTGTGCATTTTTCTTTTGATTCAGTATTATATTTGAGGGAAATAAAAAAGTTCAAGTGATATAATAATACAGACTTTTTTAGGTCATTTATGTGTTGAAATGATAAACGGCAACAGAGAATCTGCTGTAAATGGTAACAGAAAATAATTTTGGATAAACATCATGACATAGTGGAATTTTTGATAAGACATCTAAGCATGAATGTACCCCAATTTCTAGAGCCCTATTAAAGACAAAAATACTAGTGTATGCGGTAAAGTAAATGTCCATAGAATGAATAAAATATTGTATTCCTTCATTAAAAGGCTAATGAAGCACACCAGAGAAAACACACATGCCAGGCATCCTCCACTGGTCCTGCAAGCCATTCTCCATCATGTTCACTCTCTTCTGTATCCAGAAACTGACCCTACAATACCAGCAACCTCTGACATGTGGTCCTCTGACATGTGGCATCAGGTCAGCCAGTGGAAGAGGCACCAGTGGCAGTACAGAGTATGGACAAGAAAGGTCAGGGCAATTTTTTTTTTTTTTTTTTTTTACAGGAGCAGCATCCATGCTGGGCCATAGCCATATTGGCAGAGGCTGCTCTGTTCCTGTGCAGGCCAGGAGAATACGGTTGTTCTCTCTTATGGACATAGTTCTTGCTGAGCCCTGGTGATTTCCTCTCCTTCCTCCTTTGGGGCTCAGCGGTGAGAGCAGCTTCTAGGTTGCAAGCCCTGATGTAATTCATTATCCTCTCAAATTTCCTTTAACTGTGTCCATCTATACACAGTCCTTTAAATAAAATTTCTTTAGTTACCCTTTTTGAATTTGCCAATTGTTTCATGCTGCAACTTTCAGTTATAATAGTAACTTTTTAAGCTTAGAACAGTAGTAGTCCACAGAGGTGGGTGCATTTTGGAAATCTGCTGTCTTTGTGTTCTAACAGATTTACCTATTTCTGTTCTTGCCCAATTTCTATTTATTTTCAACCAAGCAATCAGTTTGATCCTTAAAAAGCATCAGATGAAGCACTCTTCTGCTCAAAACCCTTTGAGAGCTCTCATCACTCCTTAAAGGTAGAACCTGACTTTTTTCAATGGCCCACGCAGTCCTATAAGTTCCAGCTTCGACTAACCTCAATCATGTAGTCTCCAGTCAGTCTGTTTTTCCCTCATTCTTGACTCATTACTGTGGTTACTCCATTACCTCCTCCAACTCTGCTCAGAAACTGGCCTCAGGAAAGCCCATACTGACCAATACATTTAATTCTGCAACTTGCCTTTCTCCTGATCTCCCTCCTCTCTCATAAAATCAGTTATGATGTTGACTGACTACTGTCCCCTTTCATCAAAGTTCCACAAACTCTCTTGCTATAAGGCAATGCAAATCCTACTCTAATTAAATATGGGGGGAAAGATACTATACTAATATAAAAATATAAGCTTAACATTTACTGTGTATTATTTATTGAGCAGGCACTAGGCTGCACAATTTAAATACATGATGTGATTCAACTCCTTCAACATCTTCTCATTTCAGGTATAATTTTCCCCTTTTCAAATCAGTAACATTTGGTAAGTGACCCAAGGCCACCTAAGTTAGTGACTGAGTCTTGCTTTTGCTACTGAATCACTGTGCAACACTGTGTATGTTTTTGACAAATAAGATGTTGCTGTCTGAAATCATACTGTTGGTTGACTCAGAGCTGACAATAGTAGCCTATGACTTGTGGACCACATAGATAATAAAGTAAACAGGTTCTCATGGAATGTGGATGAGTATCCACACTGGAGTGACTGAAATATTGGGAAAAAGTAAATCTTAAAGACCCCCTTCTTCGATATTTAATGAGAATAGGTATTTCAAAACTCTTTTTGTTGCAAATGTTTAAATTTTTGCTCACTCTTCCTACTAATAAATATTTCACTGTTGTTGGATATTTAAGGATCAGCTATAAAACTACATCTTCTCTAAACATTCTTTAAAATACTGAAACTATCTCATTAGGAAAAAAAAGGCCACTTATCCAGTCCCGAGTTGATTATATGCACTTCAGAATTATAGAAGATTTTGAATAAATATGTGATAAATTCTGAACTGTCCTCTATTTTTCCCTTCCTCTGACCATCATCCCAAGAATTATTTATTTTCTAGCATTCTGAGCCATAAAAAACTTGGTAGTGATTACTGTAAAGCTTACTATGATTGGCTAAGTAGCAGTCAAATATAATTCTGGGGACTGGGGCTGTAACTCAGTGACTGAGCGCTTACCTATACATGTGAGGTAATGGTTTGGATCCGCAGCACCAAATAAAATAAAATAAAATAAACAAATAAAATAAAGGCATTCTGTCCACCTACAGCTACACAAAAATTTAAAAATATATATAATTCTGATATCACATGTATAGTTCAAAAATTTAAAACTCATAAACTATGCTAACATCCTTTTCATTGAATATTTTGCTTTGTTTCCCTATCAGAAACCAGCTATGATAATTTTGAAAGCAAGTTATAAACTTAAAAATGATCACATTGAGAAAATATGTTAAAGAATTAGAAAGAATATTAGCCTTGCTATCAGAAATCTTAGCAGCGGTCCAGGTGGTATAGTAAAATGCCATTAAACAAGGCAGGTCATTTAATCTTTCTTGACCTTGATTTCCTTATCTGAGGCATGGAATGGTTGCATCCATAAAGAGACCAAGTGGCTCTAAACATTTTGGGAAAATGCAAAGGTTATAGTTACATATAAATGCTTCCAAGAAATTGGCATTATTCTTTTTCTTCTTGACTTTTCAAAATTAGAAAACTTAAAAACATCTTTATTTAATTTTATTGCGGGGTGTGTGTGTGTGTGTGTGTGTGTGTGTGTGTGTGTGTGTCTAAAAAACGAAAGCCAAAAAGTAGTTTAAAATTCTAAACTTGCAAAGATCTCACGGATTAGCTCCAAATTTTTAGAACATTCAAATCAAAGGGAGAATTTGGGATGATTGAATAAAATGCTGTAGTCAGAGCCCAGTACAAAATGAAAAGAGGATGTAACTCTTGTTTAAAAATGTTAAGAATTTTGGTTTGGGATTGTGGCTCAGAGGTGGAGTGCTCACTAGCATGTGTGAGGCACTGGGTTCGATTCTCAGCACCACATAAAAATAAAAATAATGATATTGTGTCCACCTGTAACTAAAAAATAAATATTATAAACAAAGTTTTAAGAATTTCAAGACAATTAGGGTACAGCATTTAATCCAGCACAGCACTCAGAGAGCAGGGCCAGGTCACAGGCACAGGAAGCTGGTCCTCTTGCCTTTAAGTGATACAGACATGATGGCTAAAACAACTTAATTTCTATCCCTAAACAAAGTGACGGTGGTTTCTGAAGTTAAGTCATCATAGTCAGAGGATATTGGAACTTTAATCCAAAATCTACTACATTTCCAAACTTATCACAGGAAAAGTCCAATAAAAAAATAAAGTAATACATTTTTATTGGTTCTTTTTAATTATACATGACAGGAGAATCCATTTTGATAAAATTATACATGCACAGATTATATCTTATTCTAATTAGGACCCCATTCTTATGGATGTACACAATGGTGGGGTTCACTTAGGTATTTAGATATTTTCATATATGTAAACATTTTTAATAAACTATTTTTGAATGGGCCTTCTTTTACTTGATTTGAATGACTGGACTGAATCTTTTTTTTTTTTTTTTGCCACTAACGATACCCTCATATTCTGAACAACTATTATCTAGCTTCAGAGCTCTAGCAAATTAAACAAAAACAAAACAAAACAAAAAAGAAACCCAGGATTCTAATGAAGTGACTACCACTGCTGGTATTTAAATTTTCTTAGGACTGTAATCTTTCCCTGATCATTCCTTCTACAATTCCTCAGTGTCCAGGCTTATCATTCTCTGACCTCTAGTGAGCACTTGGTCTTGTTCCCCTCAATTCCTACAAAAGTTAAAAAAAGGTCACTCTTAGCTACCCACCTGCCTTCACCCTACCCACATTCCACCTTAAATACACCTGGATTCTCCTGTATTCTTCTCCATCTTGCTTAGATCCCATCTTCTTGCTTAGGCCTCATCCTTCTTCCCTTTGAGAAGTTTTACCACTTGTCTCCATTGTATCTATGTGTTCTCTTTTCCTTTTTTGAAGCATTTCTTCTCTGTACATAAATAATGTCAAGTGTTTTCATTTTAATTCCTTCCTTTGATTCTAGGTACAAGCATTATCTCTTTCTTCACAGTCCATTATTTTGAATAAAATATAGACTGTTTCTCTCCACTTCCTCCCTTCTTGTTTACTCTCAACCAGTCTTGCATCCACCTCTCATTCATTCAGCACATTTCCTAATTCCTGGTTCCTCAAATGGAGCTGTTTTTGCTTGCTGTGAAGCCCAGCATGAACTGTGGCAAACCCAGCATGAGGAAATGCTGGTCGACAAGATTCCAAATCACCCGTGAATTATTTCACGTAATTGAGGAATATGGGCATAAATTATATGATTCCAACAGGTGACTGCAATATTAAATTTTCTATTTTAAAAGGAAAACTCTTCAAACTGAGTGTTTGAAAAAGAAAAACAGTGTTATAATGTTTTTAAAGAGGTGGAGACACTCACTACACACAAAGGTCAGAGTGTCCTTGCTCTGCTGTAAATGTTTTAGCAGCTGTGGAAACTTTCAACAACACCGACTTCCAGCAACTGAGAGCAATGTGCAAAAACTGGTGTTTTCATCGTGAAGTCTGAAGCACTTACGAAAGCCATGAAGATTCTTTGAACAACTCAGAGCAGTGTGGTTCCTTCTCACAGCTCTGCCTGTAAACACTCATGTGGTTTTCATCCCCTGCCACACACCACTGTACCTCTTAAGAAATCACATGTCTTGATTTTGAACTCTTTACATGACAGAGTGAAATACTGTGAGAAAATCCAGGAACGCAACACATCTCTTTTCTCTTGAAATATGAGAAAAATGATCCAATGTATATTTCCCTGGAACTTTGGGGGTTAAATCTCCTTCCACATGTAGGATCACCTAGACTGAGAGTGATCCAGCAGTATTGCATATACTTGCTTTTTCTCTAGCCATGCAAAGGATTCCTCTTATCTGAATCATCAGAGGTGCTTTGCCTTAATATTCTACATTCACAAAACTTTGTAACTCAAACTCCAAATGATGGACTAGATAGCAAGAAAAATTCAGGCCTTAAGAACTGAAAGGTGGCCCAAAGGAGCTGTTTCTTTCCTTCTCCTGGGAAAGATAAAAATCCCAATGGATATATTATCACTTAAGAATTTTGAGTACTTTTAGCTAGTACTCATGGCCTGTATACAATAGAAAATATTTCATGGGATAAAGTACCCACTGTGAATGTGCTGCATATAGTACTTGGTTTTATGAAATCTTTCAGAATTTATGGCATAGAACTTTCCTTCATGATATGTATAGTAATAATTCTGAGTCAACAGAAGCTCTACTACAGATATTATTCAATTTAACAAAAGAAACAGACATGTGTTTTTGAGGACAGAAATTTTAATATGCATATATTTCGTAAATAAGTTTTAAACCACCAATTTCATTCAAAATAGGTTTGAGTGTGCACTCGCTATGGCCAAGCATCCATTTATCTTGTGGATGCAGTTGTGGATTTAGCCTAGAGCTTTTGACCTCAAAGATCTGCACGTGTAATTAACAAAGCCTGTTTTCGCTGCAGAGTTGTTCTCAGTACTCAGATTTAAGCTGTTTTGCTAACTTACAAAACAGTGTACCTTTTTGAAAAAATAATTAATTACTTACTGAGGAGCTTATGTACAGTGAGGTTCAGACACTAATATTAGTTACTCAGAAAGCAAGTGAGCCTTGGGTATCATCCCTATATGGCACAAAATTAACTTCATTTGATCAATGACAATGTAATAAACAGTATATATTTTTCCTCTATACATGTGGGCAAACAAAATAATACATGCAGAGTTATTTCTCTTAAATATCTGGCAAGGCATATGATTGTTTGTTAGAAATTTTCTGAACTTGTTAAGACAAAATTTAGCCAAATGTTAAAGCATGAAATTTGTTGGTGTAGGCAAAGCAGATAATGTTCTGATAAAGCTTTAAAATCACCCCAGCACACAAACGTTGGAATCTTACCATTAGGTTTCATGCAGTCTGTTCCCTGCAGCGAGCATTAGCTTTAACCCTTCAGTGCTGTTGAATTTCATATGTAGGGGGAGGGGAGAAGTTTTATTCAGAAATCAGCTTTTATTTAAGTGATGACTGTCATTTTATGTGAGAGAACTGCAGTTCTTCTCATGCATCTGGTCTCAGCACACCATGTATCCACGTATTATAGAGCAAATCTTCAAACTTCTTTAGAAAGTGATTCTACTGTTTTACTCATGTATCTTGATTTATGTGAACTGTGTTTTAAAAGGTTGTGTAAATTCAGGGTGTGTCACACTGATCTTTCTCTTCCTCCTGTGAACTGTTCTACCTCGGAATGAACTTCTCGATGGCAACTCTTTGCAATTATGTAATTTCAGCATCCCGTAGGGGTTCGCTTTCTAAATGCACTGCCCATGGGATGAGATGGCTATTTTATCTGACTTTGAGTGCTTCTTAAAGCAAGCCATCACTGAGAGGGTTAAGGTGTGTTACTGCAGCAGTTATCAGCAGACCAGCCATCTACCTTTGGTACTTACAGGAATTTTATGACTCTTGATCATATTATCAAATTCTTCATTAATTTTTTTGTATTTTTCTTCGGTGCGTGGGGTGAGTGCATAAGAGGAGTCAGGGTCGGGGCTTTCACAGCCTTTGTTTTCTTTCTTGTTCAATGCCTGCCAGGTTCAGAGAAATACCAAGAGTAAAAAAAATGAAGGGAGTTCCGAGTACTTACACACAATCTTTGCCTGCTGATCATTAGATCAATATCTTCGTTAATTTTCCTGTACTTGTCCTCAGACTCAGGGCTGTGACCTACTGAATCGTCTGCATCAGGATCTGGGCTGTCACAGCCATTAAGGCCCTTCTTTCTCAACGTCTGAAATACATAATTTTTGGAAAGTTCAAACCTAGACAAAGGCTGTAAGAGACATTCAGGGATGTTACAAAAGTTCAAGCTGTCCAGTGTTTCAGGTTATTACACATGCTACATTATGTTTAGAAAACCATAGGTAAAAAGCACGATTCATTTCACTAGAGCATTCATCATCTGTTTAAACAAAAATAACAAATATATTCTTTCCACAACTAAATTCAGTCAAGGAACCAAGAGGGTTTCAGGACCAAAGTATGGTGATTTGGAATTCACATGGGTTTTAAGAACTAACTAGTGAAAAACAATTGCAGCAGAATATAATTAAGGTGGCAAACTGCAGCACTCTTTCTTCCCACAGAAAAATCAGAAGTCAGGATGTTGCACAACTATTTTAGAATCTGTGATGACGACAACAACAGAAATGTTGGAAACACCTCTAGTTTGACTCTAACAATGGTGTCCTGGCCCCTTCCCACATCCCTGACAGCAAAAGGGCATATGAGAACATGACTAATATGCTCACTGAGCACTGACTGAGAATGTTGAGACGCCATGCTCATTCGGAGAATTACTTTTGTCAGAAAGTATATGTGAAAATCTCTATTGAAATTTACAATACTGAGAAATTATCTTCCTAAACATAGGCTTCGAGAAAAATCAAAACAGCTGAACTTAGGGCTTCATTACCCTGAGCTGAGTAAGGGATCCAAAGAATACTGCCAAGTAGGCAACCGAGTCACTAACTAGCAAACTAGCAAAAGTACCATCCGGTTTTAGCTGAGTAGGAATCACCCTGATACTATCTCCCAACACAAGAAAGGGAAAAGTTGATGCCTTTTCTTAAAAGTTCCTTTCTTCCTCCTGTAGGTATGGTCTGGTCTCCGCTGTCACAGAACGATAAATACTAATATAACATTGCAAGAGTTCAAAAAAGTATGAGTCAGGAGGCCTGAGTTTTACCTTTTTTTTTTTTTTAAAAGCTGATAGTTGTCAGTTCAAATTGCATACAACCTGATTTACAGAAATGATGCTATATTTTTATATACCATAACACATCTTATTAATCACATAGCTTGCCATGTTCATATTTTAAAGATTTCTTTTGTAGTTGTAGATGGACACAATATCTATTTTGTTAATTTATTTTTTTCATGTGATGCTGAGGATCAAACCCAGTGCTTCACACATGCTAGGCAAGTGCTCTATCACTGAGCCACAACCCCAGCCCACCATGTTCATTACTAATAGACTAGCAACATTTCCTAATTTTCCTGGTATTACCAAGATCAGTTACAAAGTGATGCGTACCTTTGTGCCTCTTGCTAATGGAAAGTTCAGTAGAGCTCATCTTTATTAAAGATAGAATTCACATAAAAATCAAGCAAAAGTTGCAACATTAAGCTAAGGAATTAAAAGCTGAGATAACACTCCATTTTTAATTCATGCAATTGGGGAAAATAAATACAACAACATGAGTTTAAAAGAGAGTGTCAGTCTGAAAATTTTAATTCTTTGGCTCTTATCAATGTGTAACAAATGTAATATTACTTAAAATGAATTTCAGAGGCACTGAAGATTTTAACTTAAAATCAAACTAAGAGCTACCATTGCAATACATTTAGGGTACACTACTACTCTGTAAATATTTATTAATGTTATAGTAGTATAATATAACAAATAAACATATGGTTACAGCTTATTATGTGGTAAAATGTTTGAATATTAAAATGAATATTTTGACACAAGATGATAAAATATACATTTACAATCTTGGGGAATTTATAATTGGTGGGGCCACCTGTCCCCCTATTAAAGATCTACAGCCATCATTTTTGGGCCAGAATAAGTACTTATAGAGGGTTTTATAATAGTACTCCAAAGGACATCATAAAACATTAATAATTTCATCCACTGACTTAACTTCCTAGGCTTTAAACTCATTTTGTTAGCATTAGGCTCAACCATAAGAACATTTCTCTGGGTAATAACAATTTGTCATATCATGATGTGTTTCTGTTTTGATATCTGCAAATGTTTACACTTATTTAAAAAATGCATCATATTGCACATTTTCATAAGAAATCACTTGTGTAGAGAAAAATAGGTAAGATCAAGAGAAAACCTGATATTTTTCAAAACATTTATGTTTCTATAAGGCATATTAAAATATCTTCATACAAACCTTTGATTTAAAGTCTTATGTAATACGAATTCATAGTCTTAGTAGACAGTACATTTTTCAATGTGCACCCATGTCTTTAACCCAATAAGTCTTATTGTAAAAATTCTAGTTGTTTTGCTATGCAGACTCCTGACAACAGAACGCAAGGGTTAGGAGAGGCCTATCAACTGTCATTACAATCCATCTGGCACATGCATGTGTGCTAAATATTCTTACAAAGCTTTGGGGGGATAGATATTGTGTTTGGTTTATAAAAATTCAAATATCAACTACACTTTGTTGAATAATCTTCACGAATATTAACTCATTATCTCTCAAGCCTTTCACAACGAATTTACAGAAATCTTACACCAGCCAGTGCTGCTAAATATGAGGATCCAAGCATCAGCTATTGCCTGTGACCATGTGGAGACCGCCCTTCCCCATCCAAACTTTCCTAAGCTTGTGAAATGAGAGACGCAGACTAGATTTATCCAATTCATATTCAATTACAGTAGCAGACTGAATACTGGGATAAATGAGATAGAAATTTAAAAAAAAAACTTGCTCTGGGAAAATGTGAAGTATGAGAATATGGCTAAAATATTGATACTTCTTGCACATCAAATTTTAGTCAAGTGGGAATGTCTATTGTTCAATGAAATGCTTAGCTCCCTGATTAAAAAACCAATTAGATCAACATCTCACTCTGTACCTGAAGAATTATATGAATTGTTAAGCAAACAAAGCAGGTGGTGTGGAGTCACAAAGGAAACGGCAGTGATGGGGGGGGGACAATGACTCACTTTCTACCAATAAATTCTTTTATCTGATTATATTATCTTGCAATGCATACTGCCAGTATTTAAGTAATGATTCAAGTTAAATCGTGTTACTTGAAACAGGGCTTTTTGAGACATATAAACGCAAAATTCAAGAGCAAATTAATACTGAGTTCCAAATTCCCATAATCACATCACCAGAACATTTAAAAAATTGTTCAAAAATATTATCCTCAGCTGAGTGCTTGTATAACACATTTCTGCCAAGAACAAATGATTATGGTGGAATTATAAAGCTCTGAAAATGGAAGTGATGGCACAAACTTGAATACCATAGTGTGAATTTGGAGCTATAAGAGCAGTTTTATCTTTATTATATTAAAAATCTACAGCTGTTTAATGACGACTAAGGAATTACTGTTGGATTCAGCCAAGTCTCTCTATTCACAGTAATGAATAGTCAATATGAACTAAAGAGCTTACTAAATGGATAAATAAGCATTATTCCTTCAAGTCTTGTTCTATCAAAATAAAAATCTCTGACACAGGCCTTTGAAAGCTTCTCTGCTCTTTTACAAGTGTGAATGGTCAGGCAATGTATGTACTTAATTGCTATTCTTATAGGTGCTACACATCCTCCAGATATATAGTAAACGTCTCTCAGCTGACTACATTTTGAAAAGGTTGATTCTGTATGTCACGAAAAAGCAAGAAATCTTTTGAAAACCACCAGGTTCTCTTACTAGGCATCTAAAGGAACTCTTCCTCCAGAGAACTCTGTACACCTGGAATGAGCTGGTGTACCGGTGCTAGCCTGCCACCTGAGAGTGACACTTTTGGGGTACATCAATTGACTGCTGAGGCTTCTCGGGTATATTCGCAAAGTAGCGATTGTCATACAGTGAGCTGAGAACAGCCACTCTTAGAGAAGTAATTAGATTGACAGAAGGTGACACACTCCAAACAATAAATGGGAGAAGGAGTCCAGATAGGTAATCCAAAAACCACGTGGAATCTCTCCTCCCAGACATGAGCACATATGGACCTGTGTTATTACATTTGTTCATCAGAAAAAAAACTTGAAATATGTATAAAATGATGATGATAGGTGACAGGTGCTTCAAGAATTCTAATGAAATAGATGTAAGGGAACAGATTCTATTTCGTTACTGCAAGGAATATAAATGAAAAAGAATGCCACATGGAGCTCTCATTTCTTGTCTCAGGCATTATGTTATCAACTAGAAAATCCCTTTCCTACACTGTGGTGGTTTCATTCTTAATTTATTTTTTAATCATTATTATTTTTTCTCTTTAAAATTATGCCTTGTTAGCAAAAAGAAACATCTAGATTACTGACCTTTTTCAGTTACGAGGATGCTATATATTGTATCAATACTATTTAAGTAAAATTTGGCTTTTTGTTAGAGAATCATCATCACAGAAAAATCTTCTGACTAGTCAATTTCTTTTCATGTCTGCAGTCTCAGTCCTCTAGAATATATATTTTCATCATCTTTTTTTCTATGCCTTCCCATTGTACAGCTAAAATTTGAAGTCCTTTTGTGAAAAACCCCAAATTACTCTTATTAACCTTTGTTAAAAATCCAAATAACCTCCCTTTCTTCATAGCTAGTTAGTCTGACTTTAGAGGTTTGATGTGTTAAGAGCACGTGAAGGAATTATTACTATTAGTTGCATGAATGCCATGTTCACACAAAAGCCAAGGGAAAAGATATTGACTTAGAAAAGGTAGTTTCCTTTCCTCTGATTTTAAACTTTTTTTTTTGGTCTTTCATAGCTCTATAATAGTTAAGTGTCTATGGGTAATGAGCTAAACAGTCTTTAGAAAGTAGTAAATTCATGTAGGAATAGAAGTGTAGATGAACTGGATGCTAGCCATGAACAAAGTTTCTGAGAATGGCTGTTAAACATTCATATGGCTCACAGATATGCCCATTTTTACAAAGATGCTTCAGACTCTCCAGCATCAGGGGAGTGGCCACTTAAGGGTGGTGCCCTGTGACTTACGTCTCCTAACATGTATATAGCAATGACCA